GATGTAGTAAATCTATAAAGTTGTGTTATTATGAACAACAGGTTTATTGTATAAATTTCCATGCCATTACCATAAACTTAAATCCACTGATCTTCAGTAATAATATTTTTTTGGATCATATCTCATTTTTCATAGCTTAAATATACTCAAATTGACTATTTAATTATAAAAACAAAATCAGAATATTAACTGTTGACATTTCCATGTCTCTTGCCAATAAACTTGTTACTGTCAACTGGGCCCAGTTTTTCGAGATCTTAACTAAAGATAAAATCCAAATTTTAGTAGACACTTCAATTTTGATTGGCTAAGTACTAAAATCAATCTAATATTATCCAGTCAAATTACTAAAATTTGGATTTTATCTTAGTTAATTTTCGTGAAACAGGCCCCTGATCAAATGTAGCCTTGATATCAATTAGTTTATCAGAGCTATGTAAAGCTGTTTTCTATTGTTCTATTGATTTAAATGGAAAACAAGAAGAGTTGTAAACCCAATAAGTTTATCTATCTAAAGTTGTTTTTTATTGGTTTAAATGGAAAACAAACAGAAAGAGTTGTAAACCCAATAAGTTTTATTGTTATATCATATTGTGAGCATTGTATCGTATCCCGAGGGTGGGCATTGCCCCCCCCCCCCCCAAAGTCCTTACAAGTTTATTTAAATCATGTAATCTAAGTCTGCCTGGTTAGATGCAGTTTCTTTTTGATTGGGCATAAACCTTAGAATTAAAGGAGAGTTAATCATCTTTTACATTTTGACCAGATTAGAAGTAGTTTTCTTCGTAATGAATTGAAGAAGTACTTAATTCTCTTTGTGCAACTTATTTTATGCTTATAATTAAAATATTACTACTTGAAATTGATTTACATTTGTCTGCTATAAAACTCTGAAAATATGACTGTTTACCCCTTATGTCAAAGCACAATGTTTCTTCACATGTAAACGTATATTAATTATAGATGAAAGGCTACTGGTTAGCATCTACAGTATTGTTATTCATTTTATATATAGTGAGAAAGTAGAAGTAGAACTTTCTTATTACTGTAAAAGATAGTGAGAAACTAGAAGTAGAACTTCCCTTATTACCATAAAAGAAAGTGAGAAACTGAAAGTAGAACTCCCTTATTAATGTAGAAGGATTTAATGATGCTTTTCATTCTAATTAGGAAGATAATTTTATTTCCTAATTTAGAAAATGATTTTGTTTCTAATTTGATGAAAAGAAATTCTGATTATGTTCTTCCTTGTCTTCATCTTCTGTGTTGCTAAATGGACAGTGGGGAAGGCAAAGATGGTTCTTCCGAGACGTAGCCAAAACTATTTAGTTTTACAGTAATTAATTTTCATTAGCATTAAATTTACATCAGATAAAATTTGGTTAACAAAGTTGATCAAAATTTGTTTGTTCAAAGATGATGAATATAATATAATTATCTGATTATACAGGTCACAATTCTATGGAACACAATTACTGCTTATTACTGAGCGACTTTTCTACTAGGCTTCTCTAGATAATGACTAGAGAAGACTAGTCGAAACATCGCTCATCAGTAAGCAGTAATTGTATTCCATAGAATTGTGACCTGTATACTCTAGTTCAATTGCCATTGAAACAAAGTATCTGATTCTCTGTAATTTTCGGGTTCAGATATGCGGCAGAATTTTACACGTTGATTTTTCAAAATGTCTCCCACAAACCAACCATCATGTGTCTGCCACTGCATATTATTATATCTTAAATAAAGTCAAACCAATGAATATTTTAATCATTTTCTTTTTATTGGTAATTTTGTTTTTAGTTTAGCCATTTATTTGAATTTTCATGTATAAATTGGTTCAAATGAAAGAAAAAAAATCTTTGTAAAATTTTTGTGTGATTAATGATGGTTGTATGTGAATCTCAATAAATGAAGAAATTAAAAATATTTTAAATTATTGTAAAATAATAAATAGGTATAAATAAAATTAATTTGTACAAAATAACTATTTTTTTTTCTTCCTATTTTGATGATGATTCAGGACTTAATTACTGTCATGACATGTATCTAGGTTGTGGCGCAGTGATTCGGGTGCTGGATTTCTAACCGGGAGGTCCTGGGCCCTGTTTCTCGAAATTTTAACTAAAGATAAAATCCAATTTTAGTAGATAGGCCTACTTCAATTTTGTTTGGCTAAGCACTAAAATCAATCTAATATTATCCAATCAAATTACTAAAATTTGGATTTTATCTTAGTTAAAATTTCGTGAAACAGGCTCCTGGGTTCGATCTCATTGATGGTCGACAAAAAGCCTCTCAATTTTCTGGTGTGGTTTTCGCTTTGTCAGTAGTACAGGTTGGAGGACCTGATCTTTTGGATGGGACAAAAAACTGAGGTACTGAGTAGTGTTGATGTGTATGCAAAAGAGAGAGAGAGGGAGAAATGGGATTTAACGTCCACTCGACACAGACTAGGTCATTTTCGGGACTAACATATGGTTTAATTTTATTTCAATAATTCACCTGCGTGTAGGGGTCTTTAGCTATAGGAGGAAACCGGAGGACCCGGACAAAAGCCACGGGGTTGGACAGGCAACCCTACCCCTTGTCACGTACAACTGGGGATTCGAAACCACGCCAGTTGACTCAATGACAGGCCTCATGATACAGCACGCACGTGCTAATCATTCGGCCATCCAACACCACTGTATGCAAAAGAACCTCTGACAGAATTTGAAATAAGAGTACACTGTAGCCTCGCTGTCCAGGCAAAATGCTCCTCGTAGCACAGTGCATGGCATATCACCAATTTCATCAGCCTGTTTGAAGTAGAAAATTAGAATGCTAAACTCCATTTGATTTGGTATCTCTTCATGTATGGCTCTGAGATATACCTTACTATAACTTTATTCAGGGATCAACATGAAATTAATCTTAAACTAAAATCTTGACCAATAAGGCCCTTTTATATTTTGCAGCTTATTGTATTATGTTAATTTTAAATCTCTTTCTGTAAGTTATTTTTTTTTTAATTTTAAAGTAGATTAATCCATCAAATGTTAAGGCAAGACGGATATTTTGACGGTTAAGTCGCCTGTCCAATGCCTCTGAGCAAATTTGTTATAATATACTCTTCAAAAAAAGTAGGGGATATTCAGAAACAATACAAAACTGCGGAAATGCACTGCTGTTTTTATTAGAGGTAACCAGTGTATGTTAATAACAGGTCAATTGCCTACACATGAACATAAACAGTTCATATGGGCGGCTTGATGGCCCCATTTCACTCGCAAAGAGATACACTGTCAAAAGTTAAAATGGACGTTTGTGATTTTTGTCTTTTATGAGTAATTGCTCCACCAATCCTCAGACATTCAGCAATTCGTCGTGGTATGCTCCTAATCAACCGCCGAATCACGATTTGGGACAATCTGACCCACTCCTCTTGCAGTGCCACGGCAAATTCTTGCAGTGTTGTCGGTTGACGTTGACATCGACGAACACGTCTCCCGATCATGTCCCAGATATGCTCGTTAGGAGAAAGGTCAGGATTCATGGCTGGCCAAGGCATATGGACAATATGGTGGGCACGGGCATTATCATCTTGAAAGATGAAACGTCGACCTGCATGTTCAGAAAAGGGCAGAACTATTGGTGCCAGGATGTGGTCACGATATTACACAACAGTGACACTTCCTTGAACAATATGTAAGTCCGTTCTGCCAGTCATGGTGATTCCCCCCCTACACCATAACAGACCCACGCCTGAATCTGTCATGCTCTCTGACGTTAACGTTAGCATGACGCTCATTTACACGCCTCCAAACGCGAGCCCGCATATCAGTGAAATCCAGAGTAAATCTGGACTCATCTGAGAACATTACACGCGCCCATCGACGATTAACCCAATTCCTAGGCTGCCTACACCATTGACGTCTGTTTGCCATGTGCTGGCGAGTTAATGGAGGCACAACACGCGGTCGTCGCGCATGCAAATGGGCTGCATGTAGCCGATTTCTAATCGTTTGGGGCGTAACTCGAATTCGTGTAACTTGGTACAAGTTTACAGAAAGCCGATTGGCCGTTTTTCCTAGATTTCGCAGGACCTGTGTATCGATCCTGGGCTTATGTAGTGGCTATAGAATCTGCACGAGGTCTATCATCAACATTGTGTGTTTGTTGGTACCGGTTCCACAGTCTGCTGATCACTGACTGTGACACATCATGTTGGCTACTGTTCGCTGCGTAGAACCCATTTGAAGCATGCCAATAGCACGTAGACGTTCATCATGTTGAAGACGTCTCATTGCAAATTAAACGTAACACACTAAAGCAAAGATACGCTAAATAGTAAATCATATGCAAGAACCGATAGGAAAGCAAACATGGATAGGATAAACCAGCACGCGGCAGTTTTCATCAACCCTTCCTTGAAGTGTCAAATTTGACAATGAACCCCTCCCATGTACAGCTCAGTGGTTCTGTTGGGGCGATAGGTTCTTTATCTGTGAACATACTCTTAAAGCATGCCAAGTGTCCATGACTATTTATCATATCACAACCTGCATAGGTATTTGGATTTCAATATCCCCTGCATTTTTTTTAAGAGTATATGATGAAGCGGTGCAGAACATACCTATTCGTAACTGTGGGTTGACGGTCGCAGGTTGACGGTAGGGATACTCCTAAAAATGGACCAGAAGCCAGAAGACCACCGAATATAAGAAAGACACCTAAAACATTGATTTAATATGTCCATAATACATAGGATCTTACACATTATACATTGATTAAGCGAATATCGATAATCTTGAATTTTACAGCTTTCCGTTGCAATATTTGGTAAACGTTTTGGATATTATAAAGTACACACAATAAACGTAAAAATGTACTTTATGATTACCAGGAAGGCGACAAGTACAGTCCCAACCAACAAGTAACGTTATAACCCCACAGAAATCTTGAGTATAAGTTAGTTGTCCATTGCAAAAGATTTGACAAAACAGAATCTGTTTTATTTGTTGAAAGGTCATTTATTCAGTAAGCACATATGAACAATATCAAGCATTATTTAAATAAATAATTTTCCAAAAAAAATTCAATACTCAATTTGATTGACAGAACCTAAAGCAAAGGTAAGGTAAAAAAAAAGGGTCCCACCATCCGAAATGAAAATGAAATAAAACAGGGTGTGGCGGGAGGGAAGCTTAAACAATGGATTACTATTTAATAAATCAAGAATTTGACCCTAAATAGTTACTGTTCAGTACTCATGGAGGTTTTACTATTATTGCTAGCTGTGGGTGGATATATTCCCATTTGTATTCGCCGTTTTCATCTGGTTTTTCGAAATCCTTTTTATCTGTCCTATTATGTTACGTAATACCTGACGGTATACATCACCTAAATTCAGACTTCGTAGCTTAAGATCTGGAATATAAAATGGTTTATTTTCTATGACCGTTAATCTGTTTCTACGATCAGTGAACCCATCTAATACTTCAACAGAATCACCGGTTGACAGACCGTCAGATAATTCGACAATACCTGTTCTTAATTCATCGATTTAGGTTGACCGAGTTGTTCTTTCTTCACTTTGATCTGTATAAGATCACTCAGGTAGTGAGGAGGATTATTTTATATTGAATATGTCTATTTATGGACAGCCCGTGAATGAACTGAGCACAGATGTATCTTTTGTAATGCGCAAAGAGAAGAAGCTGGAAGTTGTGGAAGTCCGAAAAGTAATGAATTACAATAGCCCAATGTCGATGAGATTAAAGAATTCACTACCAGTTTAGTTTATTCTATATTTTTAAAAGTATTTCCGTATAGTTTGTAGTATACAAACTACAGTTTATGCTGGAAGATTATAAATACAGCATGCCAATTATGGAGTTTTGAATATTGCTTTAATTGTTATAAAATCTGGGGCTTTACTATCAATATTACCCTTACCCTCATCTAAATCCCATTTGTATTGACCGTTTCCATCTGGCTTTTCGAAGACTTTTTGTGGTGTTTTATGAGCCCCTGAATTTATTAGTTTGAGAGTTACATGGGATTTATAAGCATCTTTCATATTTTTAAGATAGATATTTGGCCAAAACTTCGAAAAATATCTTAATGTAATACACAGCGGCGTATCCTCCACGATAAAATATGGACTTGAAAAACTATTTCCATCAAAAGCACCAATTAAACTAAAAATATGTTGTATTGATTGAGTATATTCTACCTGTCCTATTGTATTACGTAACACCTCATCAACATCACCCAACTTCACACCTGGTATCTGAAACTCTGGAATATAAAACGGTTTCTTTTCTATAACCGTTAATCTGTTTCTAAGATCAGGGAACCCATCTAATAAATCCACAGAATCACCGTTCGTCAGATCGTCAGATAATTCGGCATTACCTGTTTTCAATTCATCGATTATGGTAACGAGTTCTTCGTGCATCTGGTAGAGCTTATGTTCATTAAACTCTGATTTCTTGATGTCGTGTTTGATTTCTTCACCATGATATTTTACTGTTTCACAAATAGTCGCAACTTGCTCATCTACCAACTTACAGGCTGTTGTTATTGCTTCGTGGAGGTTAGACGATGATGTTTTCACCACATCTCGGCAATCAGATAACCGTTGTATCTGGTGGTCTATGTCCTTCTTTAGTTTCTCGAGACTTGCTTTAGCCGCTTTAATAACTTGATCAGTGTCCTCACTGTTTATTATTATATGATGTTCGTGTTCTTTCTTTGAACATTTTGAACAAATTACTTTGGAACAGTCTGAACAATAAACTGCATTCTTCTTCTGGTGATGTTGACAAATGACATGGCGCAAAGGTTTGACGTCATTCGTGTCATCTTCGGCAAGTGATATGACGTAATGATTCAAGCCGCTTACAAACAAATCATGAGTAGTTTTACACGAATCACACAGGAATTTGTCACAATCCTTACAGCGGAATTGTGACTGGATATCCTTATCACAAATATTACATGGTGGGTTACTTTTAGGTTGATGGACGCTTTGTCTTTCTTCAATGTAAACATTAGAAGCCAAGTCCTTCACCCCACCAGTGGGGATTAGAATAGTACGTCTACACAACGGACACATAAATTCGCCATTTTCTTCATATTTTCTGACATAATCACTTAGACAACTCTCGCAAAATGAATGAAAACAGTCTAAGATTTTAGGCTTCTTGAAGTCGTTTAAACAAATACTACAGTTCAGACGATCATTTTTCTCCGCCATATTGCTTTCACCGTCTGCGCGTCTTTAACAAGGATATTATTATGTCACCATGACTCCCAGTGATATATGTGTCACGTGATTTCAATGTATGTGTTATTTATTGACTGTGGCTCTATGTATAGTCGCCTTGTAGATATGTGTCACGTGATTTCAATATGTATGTTAGTCTGTGGCTCTATTCAATAGAGACTTTTGGCAAGCGTAAATTTCTCGTCCGTATCGCGTATCCGTTTGGATTTTGTGTCTGACGTCATCAATGTGTGTGTATTTCTCATACGTGATACGGCACACGGATACGACTGCACGTATCGAACAGATTCCATACGGCAAAGGTCCGTATAACATTGTCGTCTTTTTACCGTCCTTTTTGCTACTTTTAAACCCCGAAATGTTTTATCATAGCGTTTTTATCAATCAATGTGTATCCTAGAACCCGAAGGTGTATATTTGCTGTGATTTTAACCATGATAAAGACTGAAATTTAATCATTTTTTAATGGGTTTTTATCGGAATTTTCATATTTTTCCTGTGTGTGTGTCTGTCTGCATGCTGCTTGATCTACGCGCTAAATTTAGGGAGGTGGGACCTTGCAAATCTGTAGATGATTTTATTCTATGGTAAAGGGGTATAAATGAAATGAAATGATACATTATTAGTGAAACCAAAAACTGCTGTCAGTTGAAGTCGAAGATGTGTAATAAGATTCGACATTGAATTTTTTTTAATAGCTCAGCGACATCGGTCAACTTTACTGTAAATACTACCTCCGGGAAATTGTAGGCTAGGCACTTGACTAGCACTGATGGTGATCTTGGTAGATATCTGCCGTTATGCTGTAATAGAACTAAACACAGCTCAGCTATGCATACGTACGCGACGTGAAAATCTGCCAAAACTCTAAAACAACATTGACGCAGCGTATCCCGTATACGATACGGATGGGAAAATTCCGCTTGCCAAAAGTCTCTAATGTATACAGTAAATACGTAGCGATTTGAGAATCTGTCCAGCAATCTCTTCTAAATGTTATATATACTATTCAAAAAAAGTAGGGGATATTTGATTTTTAAGTGTTATTAAAGTCACCTAATGAAACTGACGAAGAAACAAATGACAAAATGAAATGAAGTTCACATTCATCGATTTATTCCAAATGATCGTTAGACTAAGTAAGGCACAGACTGACCATTAAAAGGGTAAAATGATACCCGGGGTCAAACAGCAAAGTTACCACAGCATCACAACCAAGTCAGTAACGGGTAAATCCTCCTCTGTTTGCCAAACAAGCATTGATCCGACGTGGCATACTCCTAATGAGACGTCTAAGGTCATTTTGGTCCAGATTATCCCATTCCTGTTGCAACGCAGCAGCAAGTTCTTGGACATTGGCAGGACGTTGTTGACGTTGACGTAACCTCTGTCCAAGCATGTCCCAGACATGCTCGATGGGGGAGAGGTCGGGACTCAGTGCTGGCCAAGGTAATGTGGTGATGTTCTGTTGTTTGAGGTAACCTGTAACGATCCTGGCCCTGTGACATCTTGCGTTGTCATCCTGGAAGATGAAACGGCGGCCATGACGTCGTGCGAACGGCACAACATGGACTGCCAAGATGTTGTCCCGGTAGTACTGGCCTGTAACACGCCCTGCAACAACATGTAAAGCCGTTCTTTCAGCAACAGTGATGCCTCCCCACACCATAACAGAACCACCCCCAAATCGATCGTGTCTGATGACGTTAACGTCTTGGAAGCGCTCGTTTCGACGACGCCACACCCTCCTACGTCTGTCCAAAAAATCAACAGTGAACCTTGACTCATCTGAAAACATCACATTGCTCCAGCGTCGATTATCCCAGTGTTGACGATCCCTACACCAACGACGTCTTGCCTGAATGTGATGATCTCTCAAACAAGGGATCACGCGAGGACGTCGGGCGCGAAGGTGACCCCTATGCAGTCGATTCCGAATCGTCTGGCCACTCACTCTCACACCAGTGTCTGTTTGAAGACGAGCGCTGATCTGATTTGCTGTGATGACACGATTTCTCAAGGCCAAGGTACGGATAAATCGATCCTGGGCTTGAGTTGTCGCCCTTGGTCGACCTGAGCGTGGTCTGTCCTGTACAGATTGTGTATCACGGTATATGGACCATAGCCTGCTTATGACAGACTGAGAAACATTCATCGTCCGCGCCACAACCGCCTGTGTTGTGCCGATCTGTAGCATGCCAAGGGCACGTAACCTTTCATTTTGGGTAAGCCGACGCATATCAAAATTTGTTTTCTGGTCACTAAAACAATTAAACTGATGTTTCCACCCTGGAATTCATTGCCACAATGACTGTAACATTCAAAGTCAGAGTCGTGCAAATCTTGGGTTGGACCCCCATGATGATCCCAAGCATCACCTGCATTCCATGCGGTAGCTATTGGTGCGTTTGGGCGTCACATGTAACTGGAAATGTTTCTTCTGTTAGGTTCTATAGTGACTTTTTTCGTAGTCATTTGCATATTTTAGTATTATGCCCCCAAAATCAAATATCCCCTACTTTTTTTGAATAGTATATATATCTATGGAACGTGCTAGCTATAATGTCTTAGTTGAGACGTTTCGTGTTAGGTTTGGGGTTGCATGACAGTTGGACAAAATAATATGTTATGTAGTTGACAAGATAGCATGTCAGCTTGACACGATAGCAAGTTATGTAGACACGGCGTAAAGACAATATTATGGAAGCCTATTGCGGCCGCGAGAAGTCGAGGGCGAGAACACGAGAAGTCGAGGGCGAGAGTGCGAGGGTGCGGGAACACGAGGAAACAAGGCGAGAATACGAGGATCTCGCCCCGAGAACACGAGATTACTCTCACCTCGACATCTCGCTCCCTCGTGTTCCGCCTTTGAAGAACCTCGTGTTCTCGCACTCGACTTCTCGCTCACTCGTGTTCTCGCCTTTGAAAAACCTCGACTTCTCGCTCCCTCGCCTTTGAGTTAATCTCGTTCTCTCGTGTTCTCGCTTCGTCACAATCTCGACTTCTCGTTTTCTCGTGTTCTCGCCTCGGAAGTGCAGTTTATAGGCATGTCCACTGACTACCGTATCGGCATTTATATTTGGACACGGATTATAATAAACGGAAATATTTTAAGTTCTAGAAAATTTAATAGTCATAAACAATTTTAATCTCTTCTTGCACAGATAGTATTGTATTCTGTAATCGATTTTAAGTCTTCAGTCGAATCTTTCTTTGCTCTCTAACTTCAATAACCTTCATCGGGTTTTTTGATTCGTGGACTTGTCAGTGCTGTAGGATGGGAATAAAAAAACGAGGTCCCGTGCCCAGAATCGAAATGGCCCAGTGAGTAGGACGTTTGCTTTCTAACTTCATCAAAGTTCACCGTGATTTTTCTGGCGATGTTCATCAAAGTTCTCCTGGATTTTTCAGTTCCTTGCCCGAAATCGAAATGAAGTGGGGGCTACGGTGGCTCAGTGAGTAGGACGTTTGCTCTCTAACTTCATCAAAGTTCATCGTGATTTTTTTGGCGATGTCCACCCTTGTCAGTGGTGTAGGACGGAGAGCCTGGCAAGAGACAACATATAATCGTTCGGATGGAATAAAAATAACCGAGGTCCCATGTCCGGAATCTAAATGAAGTAGAGTAGGAGCTACGATGGGTCAGTGAGTGGGACGTTTGCTCTCTTACTTCAGTGGTGTAGGAGGAAAGCCCTCGTAAGGGACCACGTATAGTCGTTCGGATGGCATAAAAAAACGAGGTCCCGTGTCCGGAATCGAAATGAAGTGGGGTTTAGGGTGCCTCAGTGAGTAGGACGTTTGCTCTCTAACATCATTAAAGTTCGGAGCCACGGTGGCTAAGTGGGTAAGACGCTGGCTTACTAAATGCTCAAATTCGCACGGGGCTAACGGAAAAACAGAAAGATTTCACCGATGGCTTAATGACACGATTGCCAAATATGTAAATAACAATCATACTGATTGGGACACCTTCTTGTCGGGTATTCTGTTAGGGTGTCGCACTTCTATTCAAGATACTACTAAATATATTCCGTTTCTTTTAATGTATGGTAGAAACCCTGTCTTGCCCATGGATACTTTACTAAAACCTAAACTAAAGTATATGGGAGAGGACTATGTTCCCACCATGCTTCAACGAATTCACAACGCGTATGTGGATGTGAAGGACAATACACGCGAAAGTCGCGAAAATAATAAACGATTATATAATGCTCGCGCCCCTAACACAACGTTCGCGATTGGTGATCCGGTTTATTTTTATGATACAGCAACCAAGTTACATAAGTCTTCAAAATTAACTAATCATTGGCAACCATACTATTGCGTTATCAATCAATTTTCACCTGTAAATTTTAAAATCAAACACCAACAAACTGGAATCACAAAATTAGTCCATGCGGACAAATTACGACTGGTACACCACGAAAATACTTGGGATGCAGAGCGCGATGCATTTGAAAGTATTTTAAGCAAGTATGACAAATCTTGTAAAAACGAGGCTATCCCCCTCTGCGCGTACCCAACCTATGCGTACCTGCAGAGTAGTCAACCCAACAAGTTTAAATGACACCCGGTCTATGACTTGTAATCCCAGCATAACCGGTGCTGCGGACGTAAGGAATAAATTGACTAGTAATGACATTACTATCCCTGACCATGACACCGAAGACAATGACCAGACAGCGGAGGTTCATGATGACTCCCTGGAGGATCCTTCTGATCCTGTAGAGGACGATTCCGATAGTGAGGACGACATTCCTCTAGCGGACCTTAGATCACGATTGCGGGATGATACAACTGCTTATCACAGTTTCTCCCGTCACCCTAAACGCTCGTTCAGTTCTTCGCTAAGTCCAGAGTTGGCTCGAAAACGCGTTCGTTTAGATGATGTGGTCGTATCATCCGACGATGATAACGACATGGATATTGAGACTGCGGGTTCTCACAGTAATACTACCAGCACGATAGCTGACATGTTCGCACTTTTCAAATGTGCGTTATGCGAACTCTT